GATGCGGACGGCCAGCTGCAGGATGAAGATGGTAAGCGCCATCCCTCGGAAGAGGAGAAACAAAACAAAACCACGGCTCAGAGAGCTGACTCCTTTAAGCGCGGGAGGGAGGCTCCTGGCCACATCCCAGAGCCAATCAGCCTCGGAGGGGAGGACGGGCGGTGCCAGGACAGAACGCGGGGCCGAGGTCCGATCCTGGGCAGGTGGCCCGTCTCCCCCAATCAGGAGGCGGGGGCGAAAGTTGACTCAGCGTAGTTTTCATGAAGCGAAATGAGGAGGGCGTTCCCGGCTTCTCCTCCGAAGGAAAGGGGCTGACAGTGCCTGGTTCCGAATCTGCTCCTGCTCCCCCGTCTCTGGGTTTGGAGACGGCTGCTCGCTCCCGGCCCAGTGTTCGCGCAGCGCGCTCACTCCGGGCCCGGGTCTCCCAACGCCCTGGACAAAGGAGACAGGACCCGCGGGTGGAGCCCGACCTACCGGCCACAGTTCAGAAATTTCCCTTTCGCGTTCTGGGCTGAGAGTCAGAGGTTCCTAACTCAACAGTTATTTTGAAGTCGCTGTTTTGGGCTGACCATCTTTTAAAGGGCAAGTTTCAGTTTCAAACTGTGCACCACATTATTCAGCTAACTAGACAGAAATAGTTCCCCAGAATGTTCACATGGCATTGATGCAGGGGAAGGTGACAGGCCCGCTCTTGGTGATGTGGCTGCTGCTAACCAGCCCTCCTCACACGCTGACACTCACCCCTCAGCACTCGGCGCACCTCCTGGAGGATGCGCTCCTGGTTCTCCGCTGGGCACAGGACCCGGGTGCAGTCCACCACGTCCACGGAGCCATCGGCACGGGGTGCGTGTTCTCCCCGGCCGCCACCTCGAAGCGCTCAAACTGCACGTGTCGGTTCTCAGAGGGGGGAAGAAGCTATAAAGGGAAAGACTAGTAAACCTGAATGCACAAAATTTCTGAAAGCTCAAGCATTCAGAAATATTTTCAAACATCCTTCTACTTTTAACAAGAAAAGCCCCAGCTTTAGGCTGGTTGGGGAACACAGCAGTTTTTAAAAATGATTACATTGTGTGTGTTTTTTAAACTGGGCGATGGATACAGAGAATATGCTTATTATTTCATTATTTGTTATACCCTACATGTACTTTATAAACTTTATATCTTCCGTTTTTAAAATTTATTGGTGTGAGAGAGATTTGTTGTTCATTTATTTATGTGCTCACTGATTGATTCTTGTATTTGCCCCGACTGGGAATCAAACCCACGCCTTGGCATATCAGGACGATGCTCTGACCAACTGAGCTGCCTGACCAGACCTATCTAGTCCTTTTTGTTGTTTTTGTTAAATATATTTTTATTGATTTCAGAGAGGAAGGGAGAGGGAGAGAGAAAAACATCAGCGATGAGAGAGAATCATTCATCGGCTGCCTCCTGCACGACCCACACTGGGGGTCATGCCTGCAACCCGGGCAAGTGTCCTGACCTGGAATCAAACCATGACCTCCTGGTTCACCTGGTTCACAGGTCGAAGCTCAACCACTGAACCACCCCAGCCGTGCTCTATTCCATTCTTAACAGCTTTTCCGAGGTGGAATTGACATACAATAAATTGTACTGCATATTTAGACTCATAGATACAGAGAACAGAATGATGATTGCCAGAGGAAAGAGGGTTTAGGGAGCTGGGTGAAAAGGTGAAGGGACTAAGGAGTACAAGCTGGTAGTTACAGAATAGTCACGGGGATGTGAAGTGAAGCATGGGGGATATAGTCAATATTGCTTAACTGCGTTTAGTTTTATTTGTCTGGCTTCTTTCACTCAGCATATTTTGAGAGTCGTCCTGAAAGGGCGAGGGCTACGCCCTCCATCTTGCCCCAGGGTGAGGACTACACCCTCCATCTTACCCCGGATCCTCCATTTTTTGGGCAGCAGCCTTAGCCATGTGCTCGGCAAGGAGCTTCTTCCCGGAAGCCCAAGCCTCTGCTAGCCACCCTAGGATTTCTTTAACCAATGACAATCAAGGGAAGTGTGCACCATAGATACGACCATATACTGTGTAACAAGACACTGACTTGCGCCCGGCCAATCGGCAGGGCCCACAGTCCTCTCTCCTCCCCTTACTCCAACCCCCCAGTAAGACACCTCTCCACACAGAGCTCTCTCTCTCTCTGCCTCTTGCCACTGTGTCGGCGAGTGTGGCTGACGGGAGCTCAAGCTAGCTTGAATAAAGACTCTTTTTTGCTTTTGCATCGGACCCGGCTGGCTCCCTGGTGGTCTTTTGGGGATCCTCAAATCTGGGCATAACAGTCCAATGTTGCTTGTATCCATCAACTTTATTGCTCAGTAGTGTTCCATTGTTGGTTGTATAACAGTTTGTTTATCCATTCACCTGGATCTTTGGGTTGTTTCTGGTTTTCTGGCTGTTACAAATTAAGCTACTGTGAACAAGATTACATTTCTTCTGAATAAATTCCTATGAGTAGAATATAGGTGTATATTTAACTTTGGTTTAAAAATATTTTTATTGATTTCAGAGAGGGAGAGGGAGAGAGAGATAGAAACATCAATGATGAGAGAGAATCATTGGTTGGCTGCCTCCTGCACCACCTACACTAGTGATGAGCCTGCAAACTGGGCATGTGCCCTGACCAGGAATCAAACAGTGACCTCCTGGTTCATAGGTTTGTGTTTTGTGCTCACAAAGGGGCAAAATTGGATTGTGTTTTGGTGTTAAGGTGTGTGAATTCTTTATATATTTTGTATACTAACCTCTTACATATGTATCATTTGTAAATATCTTCTCCCATTCAGCAGATTGTCTTTTCATTTTGTTGCTGGTATTCTTCCCTGTGGTAAACATTCTTAGTTTGATGTAGTCCCATTTGTTTGTTTTTTCTTGCATTGCTCTTGCCAAGGAGACACAGCCAAAAGATATTGCTAAGAGCTATGTCAGAGAGTTTCCTGGCTACGTTTTCTTCTAGGAGTTTATGATTCCAGGCCTTACATTTAAATCTTTACCATTTTGAGTTTATTTTTGTATGTGGTATAAGAAAGCGGTCCCATTTTATTTTTGTATGTATCTGTCCAATTTTCCCAACACCACTTACTTACTGAAGAGACTGTCTTTACCCCATTGTATATCCTTGTCTTCTTTGTTATAGATTTACTGTATAAAAAATAATTTATTTCTGTGTTCTCTATTCTATTCCATGGATCTATCCATTTATCTATCTATCTATCTATCTCTATATATCTATATACCTATATGTTTTTATGCCAGTACCTTGCTGTTTTAATTATTGTAGCTTTGTAATATAGTTTGAAGTTGGGAAGCATGGCACCTCCCACTTTGTTCTTTCTCAAGGTTTCTTTGGCTATTAGGAGTCTTCTGTAGTTCCATATAAGTTTAGGATTACTTCTAGTTCTGGGAAGAATGCCATTGGTGTTTTACCAGGGATTACATTGGATCTGTATATTGCTTTATGTAGTAAGGACCTTTTAACAATATTAATCCTTCAAATCCATGAGCATGGTTGTGGTTTTACTTTTTACATTTAAATCCTTGATCTCAGTTTGAAATTAATTAATTCTTGGAAAGGTAGGAAGTATAGATTCATTTTTTTTATTATTATAATTTGGTTACTCAGTTGACCCAACATCATTTATTTTTAATCTGTATTTTCTCCATTAATTTGAGTTTATTGGTAGTGGTAAGAGGTAGGTCAGTGGGTTGGGTTTACTACTTCTGGTCCCACAGCCTTTCCCATTCCCTTTCCATCCTGGCCCATAATGCCACAGTCCCAGACCTGGGAGAAGTTCAGCCATGCAGCTGATAAGACTTACCTTGCTGACTCTGAAAATGTATGTGGTTCTTACATTCTTATAAGAGTCTGTGTATTAAAGTAACAAATTTAGTTTGTTTGGTGTATAGACCAACCACGCTCATGATGCAAAGAAGATTGAGAGCCCTAGCTGGTTTGGCTCAGTGGATAGAGCAGTGATTCACAAATGGGGGCTACTGCCCGCTGGTGGGCGCTGCAGCGATCCAGGGGGGCGGTGATGGCCACAGGTGCATTTGTTTTAACTTTTTTTGTATTATCTTTCTAAAAAAATCTTTAGCCAGTACGGGTTTGGCTCAGTGCATAGAGCGTCAGCCTGCAGACTCAAGGGTCCCAGGTTCGATTCCGGTCAAGGGCATGTACCTTGGTTGTGGGCACATCCCCAGTGGGGGGGCGTGCTGGAGGCGGCTGATCGATGTTTCTCTCTCATGGATGTTTCTAACTCTCTATCCCTCTCCCTTCCTCTCTGTAGAAATTTCACTGTCAAAAAAAAAAAAAAAAGAGCCGAAACCGGTTTGGCTTAGTGGATAGAGCGTCAGCCTGCGGACTGAGAGGTCCCGGGTTCGATTCTGGTCAAGCGCATGTGCCTGGCTTTCGGGTGCATCCCCAGTGGGGGATGTGCAGGAGGCAGTTGATCGATGTTTCTCATCGATGTTTCTAACTCTATCTCTCTCCCTTCCTCTCTGTAAAAAATCAATAAAATATATTTAAAAAAAAAGAAATTTCACAGTCAACTAATGTGACTTAAGATAGCCAAGGAATCTCGCTTCATTGACATAACACCAACTAAATCGTTTGAAATGAATTCTTGTTGACATGTTCTTAGGAAATAAATATTTTTTGAATTTGAGAAAATAATAGATAGTAAACATTTAATGTAACTCAGTAGACTATTTAAAGTGTAAAGATCCTTTTTTCTTAAACTTTGTATTTAAAAATATATGCATTTATTTCAGAGAGAGGAATGGAGAGGGAGAGAGAGATAGAAACATCAATGATAAGAGAGAATCATTCATCAGCTGCCTCCTGCACACCCCACATTGAGGCTCAAATCGCAAACTGGACATGTGTCCTGACCTGGAATCAAACCATAACCTCCTGGTTCACCAGGTTCACAGGTTGA